AAGTCTATTCTCTGAGATACAGGGAGCCAGTGTAAGGACTTTAGAACTGGGGTGATGTGCTCTACTTTCTTAGTCTTAGTGAGGACACGGGCAGCAGCGTTCTGGATCAGCTGCAGCTGTCTGATCCACTTTTTAGGCAGACCTGTGAAAACACTGTTTCAGTAATCAGTTCGACTAAAAATAAACGCATTGATTAGTAGGTAGGCAGCATGTAAGAAAAAAAAGTAACATTAATACTTTTCTATCTTTTATTAATAGGAACTAAAGAGACTTTAAAATGAAGGTTTTATTTCTAATATTATATAAATTGCTTTTTTTGTGTTCCTTCTCCCTCCCCCCTTTCTAAACAGGACCTGGAGCATCATTTGGGTCTGGCTCTCAACGAGGTGCAGGCCGCCAAAAAGACCTGGTTCAACCGAACGCTCAGCTCCATCAAAACGGTCACCGGCACCCAGGGCAAAGAGACCACTTAATAACTTGATAAACCTTCATCCATCCCGTTTTAACAATACCACACCTGGAGTTCAAGCATCCAGACCCCTCCCCTCCCTGAAATGTAACGCACACGGCCATAACTTTAACACGAACATTAACCGTTTAAACTAGAGGATCTCCTCTGTGACTGACTGTGTTACTTGTTTCCTCATATCAGAGAGTTTTATGTTTGTTTCCTGACTCCCCAAAAGCAAACCTTCTAACATTCATCTGAGCAGTGCAGCGATAAGCCCCTCCCCCGACAGAGACCATGCGCTTCCACCGCTCACAGGAGGAGAGATGCTTTATCGAGGATCGTCTGCGTTCTGCTGAAAAGAAAAACTCCACAGAGGGGGACGCAATGACATCAGGACTGTACATTCGCGCTCTCTTTTGTCTGAACTACTGGCACAAAAACAAGTCCCTGTGCATCTTTCTTTTGTTCTGTCCGTTTTAGGTACGAGCGCTTGTTGACGCCTTTTCAGAACTAAGCTTTTTTTTTTTATTTTGGTTGAATGTTGGCGTGTGTGCTAATGTAGCGTCTGATTGTTATATGTGTTTGTTCATGTTTGTAAGTCTGGAGAAAAACTTTGAAAGCATGAATAATTGGTGCGTGTGTGAGCAGAGTGTTTGTGGAAGTGCGGCGGAAAGAAAAGCACTAAGGTCATGAGTGTGCATGCTTGTCAGGTCGTCTCGTGTTTAATGTTCAAACGTGTACATAAAAACTGGTAGAAAGTAAAGTTCGTTGACAAGGCCTTGAACTGAAGGTTGATACTGAGGGAACGGCTGTGAGTATAGATAATATACATAATATACATGAATATGTAATTTATGGAAACTAAATGGGCGACTGCAGCTTAAATCTCTAAATAAAAATACACTCTTAAGCTTTGTTTGGTTTAGATCTTCCAGCACAAAGAAAAAAAACCTTTAAAAAAAGATCAAAACTAAAAAACATGCACAGTTTGTTTAATGAATTTGGGTAATCAACTGTCCACAGTCAGAGTGGACATAACAGACAGATATTTATAAATCCTGCGGTCTTTAAACACACCACTAATCCCACTTTATCCCTTCCCACATGTGGTGCTCAGACGGTTTAGTGCTGTCTGACATGGTCCTCTTAAATGCTTTATTATAGCAGGTAGCTCTCTATGCTGGTCAGACGTTTACATTCACACTTTATTGACTCACATTCTTTTTATATATTTTGGGCTTTTAAATACGCATCAGAGACAGATTTAGTAAATTTTTTGTGAGGGTAAAAAGAAATTGGACCTTTTAAAACATGAATGGGGTGCACAAATTTGTTTATCTAACCAAAATAGGCTCCAAATTATAAAAACAATATGATGTTAAATGTCCCACGAGCTTTTATTACCAATCGATTTCTCGCTCCTCCATTCTGGGTGGATATTTTGCAGCTTTTTTTGGTGAAAACTATCAAATTCGTTGAGTTTTGGGGTCTTGTTAGTGGTTAAATGTATCTTTTCTCTTCTAAAAAGGAGTATTTGTATTTAGTATATTAGTTGGAACATCCAATGGGAAACATTTGGGGAAGAAATTTCCCCCAATGAATCAGTACAAATGGTTTCAAGGCAGACTCCCAGGATGATACTGCCACCACCATGTATAACATTTTGGCGGAGGGATCTTTGGTTCATAAGCCTTTCCATGGAATGCCAAACATTCCTTCTGCTAAGCTGTTCAGGTATTTCAATACAGAAGAATCCTTTTGAAGTAGACTTTTGGTGCAGCTTTCAGTCTTATTTGTTTATTCTAAAATAAGTACAATTTAGGACGGCAAATAAGTTTGTTCTGGCATCTCAAGTTTAAAGTGGGCTAAGATCATCCATTTGCCTTCATTTGAGGTAAGAATTGAATCAGATGTGTGAAACTTTCTTCCAACCAGCAAAAAATCCAGATTCTTGGTAATTTGGAATGGAAAAAACTCTCAAGTCAACCTGGATCATTCCTTACCTTAATCATATTAGAAATTTAGAAGTAAGCCCAATATCCAAATTAGCTTTTCTAAGCGAAGAGTCATCAAACAATGAGCAAGAATTATGTCAAAAATATTCTCTAAAACTCTGTAATTTAAGTGACATTCAAAAGGTTAAATTCAAACTTGTGCATCCAATTCTTGAATTACAATATCTTTATAATTGTATATTCATCCCATCTAAAAGAGTTGATCAAACATATGCCTTAAACTAGTAGAATTGTCAATCTGATCTGTGTCTATAAACTTCTCCTGACACTTATAGCTGCACATGTTAGTCTAGATATAAAGCTACCAGCAGATCAAATTACATATTGAGGCAAACATCAATGTTGCAGTTGTCTGTGATTTAAGATGAGAATAGTTTAGGAGAATAGGAACTGTTGTGTGTGGATAGGGAAAGCATTAATATCAACAAAACTACCAAGAAATGTCTTTTAATATCTGTTTCACCACACTGAGAAGGCAGCAGCTTAAATATCTGTAATACTGATGATTGAATAAGACAAGGAAAAGTTTGACCCCTTAAATCAATATATCTGCAGTTATGTCACCTTGTTTATAAGTTTTCATTTTTTAAATATCTAATTGGATCTTTTTTTGTTCTAGATTCAACCTTATTGCTTTACAGCTGTTATCTATAGAGCAACAGGATGAATACTATTGGGTTTTTTTTTTAGCTTCAGAAGAAGAGTAATTCTTCATAAAACAGTTTTCTTAACAAATTAGAGTTTCAAATCAAATGTTAGAAGCTACTGAAACAATTCAAGCTCTGGTTCAAGCTATTTGGTCCACAAACTGCTGTGAATGTAGGACACCTGTCAGCTGGCAGAGCTCTAACTGCTGTAGGAGGGGAATTTCACCACCAGACGCAGGATGTAAGATCCAGGACCAGAAAGTCAAGACGGGCCAAAGTTCAGGTCAAAAAGCTCTAAATTTGTCCGCAGGGCATAACTGTTCCAGAAGGAGGCTGTGTAGGTGATTTAATACTTTGCTGACTGGGGAATGAAGGCTCAACGACGGTCTGGTTTCAAATCCTGCTGAGATTGAAGGTCCTGGTTTGTGCGCACAGAATAAACCTTTTCTGCAAACTGTCATAACTTGAAAAAGTGAAGTCTGATCAGCTGGAATCAGGTTGAGATGTTAGAAGATGAAACATGTAGGGTAGCATCCACCTAAAGGCACTGGGCTGTAAATAAACATTAAAAGCATCACTATTGAGTTTTTGTTTATGATTTTCTACTCTAACTATAACTAATGTTGCCTACCTGTACTCACCTACCTGCTGCTGTGATACAGTTGAATCTACAACGTTTTTTATTGTATTTCCGTGTCACTTTATTTTTTTCCTTTTTTGCTCAAAGCTTCTCGATCTCACTGCTGTTTGGATAACTAAATGCCAAAACATTGCTCCGTCAACCAACATTATCAGCGTGTGGAAAGTGTAATAGAGTAGACTGCATTGTGTATACTCCATGAATTTAAATATAAAGATATCAACTCAAGGATACCGGACTGGTTTTATTTTTTTCCATTCAAGAGGCATAATTTTGGTTGAGTAACAGACTGAACTTTTTAAAACATGTTTCTGTGCGATCAAAGGTCAGGAGTCTCAACAACTATTTCTGCAGACGCCAGCTGGTGGAAAAGAGCGTCCAGATTTCCAAAATGACCATGTGATGAATTACAAGTGGGGTGCTGTGGAAAAATCCTGACTATTTGGTAAAAAATCTAATATATTTTACGTTATGCATTAAATGGCCTTGCAAACTAAATAAAAAAATAACTAAATAAATTAATGGCCTTATGATCTTTAAATATATTGCTAGTAATGGAAAAAACTTCCATGGCATTGAAACAAAACTTCCAAAACTGCTGCTTTTTTAACTTTCTTTAACATCAAGCTGTCTTGCAATGCTAATGCTCACTTCCATAAACGGGTACAAGAAGTACAGATTTAGCTCTGAGTTTGATATTTTTAACTTCTGTCCTCCAGATAAATTTTCACAAATGTTTCTTTGTAGTATATTAGCTTAAAACAGAAGAATTAACTGATTTTATGAGTTCATTGATTTGAATGCAAAATAACTGGCAAGCTTTGCATATGACATAGGCCCCAACCTGGATTTGAACCCAGAACCTCTTCCACTAATCCTGCATACAGTTAGTGTTTCATCACAGCAGTCAAAATCTACAATAAACCCTTCCAACCAAAAATAACCCATATTCTTTTAAAACCTCAACTTATTCATTCTATGATGTCACGATATGATGCCATTAGGTATAAAATGTGTAATCTAAAAGAGGAAATTTTACGTTTATCTATACACACACAGATAATAGCAATCCTTCAGTTTCTCACCAGCATCTGTACAGAAATAGGAAGAAATTGGAGAAAAAAGGAAAAAAAAGAGTCCTATTGTCATGAAGAGAATTCTGTCATTTCTGAAATACTTCTTTGAGAATGTAAATGTGAAATTAAATCTAATGATGCCTAGTGAAAACAGCCTTTATCTTTCAGACATTGGAGCTGGATGTAAATTTGGTTCTCAGTTTGGCTCTTGTTCTGCTTCTTATCTTCCCCCTGAGGGAACATGCCTCATAACATATGGCAGCATTGTTATCTGTGTCAGGGTTGAGCTATTTTCTGCTTGGTCCCTAGTAGATATATAAAAAAAAGAAAAGAAACGTGCTGGTTGTGCTGAGGGTCTAACATATACCCATAGCAAGGGTTTATATATGGAGTGTGGGACCCATAAAATTCTCACCTCCACTGATGATGGCTGCTGGGACTCCGGCTCTGCTGCTGCTACCGGCAGCAGGAGCTGATGGTAATGAGCGTCAGCATTATGTAACTTTTCACGCTCCCCCCTCCTCTTTCTGCCCCGCTGTGCTACAGAGCTATAAATACGACCTGCAGGCAGCAACAACACAATGCAAAGGTAAAAAGTTGGATGAGAAGGTCGAGTGATGCTGATTGGGTCAGCGCTGATGCCTGGTAGGATGTTGGCAAAATGTAGAACCTGACATGAATACAATTAAAACCCTTCATTCCTTATATTCCCATTTTCTTTTCTTTTTTTCCCCCCTTCTCAGTTATTCTGGCTAATTGTCTATTTGCTTTGCCATTAACACACCTTAATCTCCCAGGTGTTGGACAATAAAGGCCATTTCTTTTTTTCCCCTGTAATTCTTTGCCTTTAAATCTTATAAGTTTAGACAATAAGTTCAGTGAATGTTCGATTAATAATATGCTGAGCCTCATAAGTCAGGGTAAAAATATCTGTTGATAATAACCTTCAAAGCAGGAAAGCCCTTACTTTTTCATTGCACCAACAGTTCTGTTTTAAGATGGAGTTTTCTAATAATTTGATGTAATATTCTTGTTAATCTTCTTTTTTTTCTCATTCATTTTAATTATGATTAACAGCATCAGTTTGAGTGTAATTACTTATTGAACAAATTAATTCAATACATCACTTAATGTTGATGTAAATAAACAAGTAAATGGGTTGAAGGATGTAAAAACACAGAAAACATACTATCGCTGATTTTTTTTTTTAAGTATTTACATTTTTTTCTTTTTAATATTTAGTAAAATGGTCTTTTCGTTTCCCTGCTTGATTTTTCTTTGGAAATAAATAAATGTTTTGCTCCCAGACTTTGTGCCGACGGAACAGCAAGGAGCACATAAACGTAAACACTCATGAACCAGGTAGGATTGTATTGATTATGCCGTGCTGCAGCTCATAAATTACTTCATTATAAAAGAGATTGTTTACAGATTCAATTACAACATGTTTTCACCCTGTTTCTAATAGAAATGTATATTTGTGGTCAGAAATAACAGAGTTTAGAGTTTAAAAGAGGCTCATTCTGCAGACTACCTGTGGTTTCTTTACATAATCTTAAATGGTTAAAATAAATAAATAAATAATAAAGTTACAAAGAATTACCATACCAGCTGGTTACCAAGCATGTATCAGCAGCTCAGTAAGAACACAGATGATCTACGTGTGAGATTTATTATAATAAACCAGTTGCAAAATAAAACCTTCCAGATCATTTGTTAATCTGCTTTTATTTATTTAGAAATTTTCTTTGTTTGACTCCATATTCCATTTCTCAAAATTCCCCAGGAACAGGTTAACGTCTCAAACCTCTGTCATGTGTTTTCCACCTTTTTCTTCACTTTTTTCTTTCTTTTTTGTTGAAGTATTTTACATGAAATGCGGTGAAAATTGAATCTCCCTCTTCTTGGTGATCTGTTTCAGATTTTTTTTTACATTTGCTGGCGTTCATTTCTCCCCAGCTTACAAACGATCTACAGGCAGGGATACACCATTGAATCTCCTGACAAGGATCAGATTTCAGGAAAAGCAGAAAGCATGTGCAGCTGTTGATTCAAGACATAAGTCATTTCATCACAAATGCAGAAAGTTATGTGTTATTTACTTAGATGCTGATGGTGTTTAGATTTTTGCCTGCATAAAATAGAGCTTAGCGGTTAAAATAGGAATAGTTGGCTTTCAATTGGCAAATTGTGGGTTTAAATCTATTCTTATCATTTGCTGCTTTTTGATACTGCCTTGTTATCTGTAAATAGGCCATGTAAAAGTGCATGCTTTGTTTGTTAAGTTTAAGAGAAAACATTTTAAACTGTTGATATGAAAAACTTATTTCATTTTAAAGCATTTTTAGAGAATTACTCAATGATATTCAGTAGATATGAATGAGCTGGAGATGCTTTAATCCTCCTTATTGCTTTGACTGTACAGACTTTTGTAATGTTTGAAGGATTAAAGAGTTCAGCCTCATTAGTCCCGCCTCTCCTCTTTCATTTCCAATTATGGATGGAGCAGAGCGATCTGTTCAGGAAAGATAAAGAGCTATGTTACAATTTTACAGCTGTTTGCTGTGGCCAATTACTTTGCAAATAACAACCAGTCATTTGTGTGTTTTCCAGGTAAAAACAATAAATCCTCATCTAAACCTGCTATTGGTTCTGATAGTTTAATACTGTCGATGAACAATGAGAACTTTTTCCTCTAAAACACTTAAATCTCTGTTACCCTCACCTCCTTTTCTTCTCCTCTGTGTAAAAAGTATCGACTGGAAGTAGATATTTTCCAAATGCGGCCCGTCATGGAAAATCATTCGGCTCCAAAGAGCCAAAAAAAGGCACATCCAGTCATAAAGGAGACTTTTTAAAGTGGCTAAAGCTGCAAAAATGAATACAAGTAAAGCAACAGCAGCAGAGCACGAGGCTCTTTGTAAATCAAATGATGAAATTAAGTTACTTTTATACAGCTGGAACCTTTTAAAGACCTATGATGCTAAAGTGGCTTTATTAAAAAATGAGCTTGATGGACTGGATGCTTCAGCAAGGAGACAATAGAGTCTGAGGGCAGGTTGAATCCTGAAACATGTTATCAGACAGACTCAAGGACTCTTATCTTTACAGACTCAAGTAAACAGGTCAACATATCTGGTTATATTTTATCTATTACAAAAATATACTTTAAAATACCTCTGTCTATAAATCACAAAATAAATGTCCAAAACACATTGCAGACTTACTGTAAATCTGCTCTGCACGCCCAGAACCAGACCCAAACATGGAGACGCAGCTTTTGGTTCTTCTGCTCCACTAATCTGGAATAAAGTCCCAGAAAACTGTAAACGACCTGAAACTATAAATTGCCTTAATCCAGATTTAAAAACCTATTTGTCTAGAGTGGCCTTTAACAGTGCAATCTAAACATTATTAAAGATCGTAGTCCAACTTCCTTTCATTTTAATCCTTTTACTTATTGTTTCATAATCATCACTCTAGTTATTAATTTCTATTAATACTTTATTATTATTGTAAATTAATTAATTGGCTTTATGCCACCACGGTAGATTTTTTTGTGTGTTTTCCTATCATGTTTCCTTTATATTTTTTAGAACATTGACATGGTTTTGCCCCAACTTACCTCTGAGCTGCTTTATCTGTACTCTTCGGCTCAATATATCAGGTCAGCTGATCAGCTCCTCCTAAAGGCAATATGGACTTAAAAGAAGGAGACAGAGGCTTAAGTGTCGCTGCTCCAAGGCTGTGGAAACGTTTTCCTCACAAACTAAGATGAACCTTGTCACTGTCCATTTATAAAACTCTTTTAAGAACATCATTTTATATCTTGGCTTTCAGCAAAGAATATTTTACTTTCTTGTGTTTTATTCCTGTTTTATGTTTTAAATTGCTTTATAAATAAATTAATGGTAGTTTTCCATTTAACACAGGGAACATTGGACCATCATTGATATTAGAAGATTTTCTTCATCCAGCCATTTTTAAGGTCCTACAGTCTGACTTGGAGTGACATGTTTAACTGCTGAGGCTCTTTATTGTTCAGTACTTCCCATCCTTATTATAAAGTTTTATGTTAACATATATCTTGTTGGCCCTGCTTCTCTCTCCCACACGCAAGCAAACTTTCAGCCACCTCCACCCCATCTCCTCCCTCACTCTCAGTTCTTC